AAAAATAAATAATAATTGTGTGATCGGTATCGGTGATCGGCCCTCATGGGTGATCGGTATCGGAAGGAAAAAACCTGATCAGCACATCTCTAGTTGCAACATAAGATGTGTAAAGTTTCAAGGGGTACGAATGGCTCTGGAAGACAATGTACTGTATATAATTGCCAGTTGAAAGCAATCAACCACTCCAGGACATTTAGCCCAAGGATAATCAATAAAAGTAAGCAGGGCTGTTAATACCTGTTTGCTGAGGGTTTAAAAAATGATAATTGGAAAACCATTCACAATTGGCATAACAAGCAATTAAATAATTTAAATGAGTCCTGAGTCTATCATGAATACCAATTAAGGAGCATGATTGCATACGTCTGGCCTTTTTATTATTTTTAGAAGGATGAGTTAATTGATTGGAGAAAAAAAATCTAGTTGCGCTTGAATTTGATTTCTTGCAGGCATGGCAGCCTGAGGAGTTAGATCTGAATTGGGATCCTTCACAGAGTAACTAACAGGCCCAGAATTGATTAGTTTAATTCATTATAACATGTCACCATCCAGTTGAGCTCTTTAGACATGAACTATAGATGCAGCTTTGTTAACAAATACTCTTAAAAACCACGCAAGTGCATTTTCTGAAGCAATTTTCTATACAGAGCGAAACTTCAATTTCTAAATCAAAATTAGCCCAAAGAAATACTGCAACAATGGATTGCTACAGGCTTAACTGGTCTTAAATTTATAATATGAAGCTGACAAGCTGAAATAGAATCCAGTTTGAATGGCAAAGTTGTACAATAGCCTGTAGTCAAAACTGACAGACTGTCTGCAACCTTTCAGCATGTAAAACCATAATTTTTCTTATTTTCATTCTAATCTTTAATAGGAAAGGCTAGCTGGAGACCTGCCTGAAATCTCATAAACCCTATACAATTAGAATTAAAGGAAGTCTTTACTTGGGTGGAGGGCATAGTTGTAAAAATGTGTATAAAAACACGGAAATTGAACTTTTTTCTTTTAAAAAAGCACCTTACACTCCAATTATTTTCCCTATCTTGAAACGAGCCTGAGGGGAAGCTTTAAATAGCAGAGAATTAATGAAATAACTTAGGAGCAATACAGCCGAAGCCCTGATAGTGGAGACAACCGCATGAAGCAGTTACATGGTGTAAAAATATCAGAGAACATCAAGCTGAGACTACCAGATGGAGAGATGGCCACCCAAGGTAGAGCATGTCAGTGACAAAGCATGACATGCAATAGAAAACAAAAACAGATCTGTACTGCCCTCTGTCGGTGGGCTATGTTGTTACACTAAATTAAACTAGTTTAAAAAAAAAAAAAACCTTGCCTGACTTTACTTTTTTATTTGTAATATTTGCAGTAAGAAATCTTTAACCACCAATCAATGTGAGCATATACTTTAATTTAAATAACTCAACATTTTTGTGACAAACTCAACACAAGAGTATAAACAGACAACTACATACCGTGTTGACATTGCAGCTCTGCAGCTCAAACAGAAGACAAATGGAATTATAAATTTATTAACATGCTAAGTATGACGCGTCTCGTCCCGTAGGAGCGCTAACGAAGTATAAAAATTAGAAAAGTACAAATAACAGCATTGTAAACAACATGTAGAAAAGAGAATAAAACTGCAAATCTGGAATAAAAGTTAATCATTCTCCTTTCATAAAATGATTTTTTGATTAATGATTAATCTTGTAAATGCAAAAATTGTGCCTCAAACTGAGACTAATAGCAAAATTCCCAATTATTGGGATGCCTGTAGTGTTTTCTACTCTTGATTTAGGGGTTTCTGACTTTTTCAAATAACCCAACAATTAATATTGAAAAATACATTATAGAAGTACAAAATATGAAAATGTACAGGTTAAGTGTAACACTGTGGAAACAGGCTGAAAAACCCTTAAACTTTAAAAAAAAAATTCTAGTTACACTGAAATGATTAAACATTGAGTGAGTTTCCTTGACTATCAATACAGACAACTGCAAAATTGAGAACACCTTCCCTGCTTCCAAAGGTTTTAAGAGGGAAAGCTGAAAAATGAAACGTACTTTATGATTTAATCATAACCAGTGAAGATAAAATATCTAAAGCTGGGGAAAAAAAGGCAATAACTTCATAGAAACTGATGTGGCCGTTCATCAATCTCATAAAGGATGATAGGTTTTTTGAAAACAATCTGAAACCCAGCCTTTTACACTGAGACCTTAAGTCACACATGAATTATTAATGTTAAAATATAACTGAATAAATACATAATAGTTGCCAGAAGAAAACTTATGTCTAAAGAGGAAAATTGCAGCATAAAATTTGAAACAAAACAACTTTGCAGAGATGTGTCCAAACTGGGGGCATTTGGCCATCATGCACAGCAACATGATCAAACAGGTTGAAAATTTAAAAACAGCATATCAGCAAAACCACATAATTCCAACTGTGGTTCCATAAACTACTGAATCAAGGGCTGGACTTTGATTTTCTTCGACTATACTGGCAGAAAAGGATATTTTTACCTAATGACTGTACATAACCGTGCTGCCTGTGAGCTGGATTGTGCTGCACAAAAACATTCCTCATTAGATGAGGAAAAAGAAGAACATGAAGACCAGACATACGGTGGTCAGATTAAAAATTGCTACATCAGTATATATCCTTTATGAAGTGCATGGTATCCCGACACTAGAAAAGGGAGACGGGGTAAGAGGGAAGCCCTTTTGGAGGCTGCGGCTGATTTCAGCCTCTTTAAGCTCGTTTAAGCTTGTCGATGTGGAAGGTTAGTTTGAGAGCGGGCCCAAGCTTCAGACCCATGTATTTCATCATTACGTCGCTGCGCAGCAACAGAAGGGCTTTGCCATCAATCTCCTGCAACAAAAGGAGAAAACCACACAAACCGCTTTAAGCACTACAGAAATACATGACTGCTACTCATTTCTATGGGAAGAATTTAAATAATTAGAATGAAAAAAGGCTATCTGATCTCTCTGATGAAAGGGCAAAAAGAATGCATACGTGTTTTCTGAAGAGATTGGCGTGAGGAGCCAGAACTGGGTCAATGTCTCGAATGTACTGCATGACTTCCTCGACAGTCCACAGATTTGGGTCCTGACCGCTGGGTCTGGGGCTCTCCCGAAAACTGCCTGAAAAAGAAATAAAAAAAAATACTAAATTAAGACAAGGAAGGTTAGGCCTGAAATTTGTATTTTTAAGAATCCAACAATTATTATTTTCTTTTTCATAAAAAAAAAAAACAAAAAAAAAAAAACATGTTTTATATATATTATAATTCATTTAGAAACGGGGGACAGAGACAGGCACATTCCACACGTTACATGTCAATTTGAACATCATTGAAAAGTATATTTATTTCAGTTGCTTAATTTAAAAAAGTGAAACTCGTGTCATTTAGATTTGTTACAGAGGGTTATATCTGACGCACTTATGTATTTTTACTCTGATGATTATGGCTTGTGGCACATACAAAAATCATTTTGTTTCTTAGAGTACTATAAAATACATGATTTTCAGATTTTACAATAAGACCAGTTAAAGTGCATACAGATGTCAGAAGCAATACAAAAACAAATGCAGCACATTGACTTGATTTCTGATTATTTGCACACAAGTATGATATCAGAGACGGAATCTCTGAAAACTAGACAGGCAGAATGTTTTCCAGATCGTTCCACCTGCAGAGCTGTCGGAAGATTTTAACAGTGATACTGCTCCAACTTTCAGGGGTTTAAGTGTCTGTTATGGCCTTAAGTAAAAGAAAAAGGCCTTTATAAGGGGTTATTACCCCTTTATAGAAATCTCTTCAAGTATTCCATTAGCTTAATTAAAGTCTAAGGAAATTGAAAGATGATTAAATGATTAACCTCCTGCTCCAAAATTTAATACCACTCTCTACCAATCTATGAGCTACAGTTTAACTACCTCCTTTTATATGATCATTTAAAGCTTTACTGGACCAGTCAAAGCAGTCATTTTTAAATTAAAATCTTTACATAAAATGTGCTGAACCGAGAATTTAGAGCCATTTAATATGTATAAACCTAATGTTCGGAGAAGCTCCATCCATCGTAAATGTGCAAATTCAAACAAAAAAGGCATCAAAACATATACTGTATATATATAAAAAAAAAAAGATTGTAGAAAAATATGACCACTACTGAGCCTTAATTAATTTCTTTCTGTGTTTTGAGAACACAAAGCTCTCAATTAACATTTAACAACACAAAATAATCAATAACCAAGTCAATTTATTCAATCAAATCTGATTTAAGTTTCTATTATGTTAGAAACCACAACTTTTGTAGAAATAGGGATTTATTTATTTATCTTATGAAAGTTAATCCTACAGAACAGAAAGAAGTGACGTCAAAATGACGTCAACATAATTTTTAAAAACGTTTATATTAGCTTTGAAAACTGACCATACACAATCAAGTAACACATCATTTTAATATTTAAACTCCAATTTATTCACAAACCCCCCCCCCAAAAAAAACACACACACACACACACACACACACTATTATTAATATATAAGTGATAACAGTGTTTCACATGGGCTGCCACACTAAATTAACAAATAGAAAGTCCCCTGCTAGACTAAATGACTATAATAATAAGTCTTGCATACCGTCAGTGGAGTGCCTGGGGAGTTTAGCTAGTTTGGAAGTTAGCGGACCGTTGAAGTCCTGTTGGAAGCGCTTTGTGCCTTTGCCTGGGCCCGCGGTCAGGGTGTCTCCAAAACCTCTCCTCTCTGAAATCAGCACATATGAAGCACAGATCAACAGCTGATTCAGAGTTACAAAAAAAGTTGCTATATAAATGAGCTGACCAGATGGCATAAAGCACAGAAAAAAAACCTAACAAAAAAAAAAAAAACAGGCTTCTCATTTAGGGAAGAAGGCAGGGAGGCAAAAACAACCTGGGCAAGGCCAGAGAAAAACACTCAGTGATCTAGTGGCTACTCATTTAGGGCAGATGTTTATACAGTTATCAGGCTTTAAATATGAGTTATATGTAACTAGAGCAGACTAAGACAAACAACCTAAATTGGAAAAAATATAGTTGTTTTAATGCATTACTATCAGGACAACAGAAGTTTCCCGACTAAAGAAAATCAGCCATGCTGTTAAATTGAAATTGGGAAAATTCCAGCTGATGCAGCCCACCTAGTGATGAGATGAACATAAATAATGTGCCTGTGGTGATATTCCACATGACAAACCAATGTGAGGCAAAAACAATTTAAATTCTGACTGTTTTTAATCATTTGTAGAGCCAAATGGCTACAAAAAATGTTGAGTAAAGGCGCATCTCACTCTCCTGAGTGAAATGCGCGTAAAATAAAAAGCATTAATGCCCCCCCTCCTCTCCGTTTTGATATCATCATTTGATAAATTCTGCTCCTAACATGTTCTCTTAGTGATTTCCATTAATCATGTGGACATAAAATTATTGGAAGACTTGGTCTCCTGCTTCAGAAATTAAGAGCAAGGCTTAAAAAAAAAACATTTTCTATTAAGAGCTAAAAGCGGTTGTCCTATCTGTTCACATACTAGCAGTCTTTTAAGCTCTTATCTGAAAAATGTACCCTGTGGTTACAGCTTTGATATATATATATTTTTATTGAAGTCTAGACACTAAATTAAAGTTTAAAACACTGTATGATGCAAATGAACGGCCACGACGGGAGAACAGTGGATCTGACCTGCAGAGTACGAGTGGCTGTCGTAGTGAACACTTCCTCTGGCCACAGGCTGGCTGCCGAACAGAGCATCGCAGTGAAGGTTGTGACAGAGTTTTTCCAAGAAACGGAGGACGTATGTGACACTGCTGACCGTCGGGAGGGTCAGAGTGTGCTGCTGCTGGTCAAAGAAGGCTGAAAAAACAAACAAACAATATGCTAGGTGGTTGTGGCAATTCACTCGTTTATTTTTTAACATCTCAATTTAATATTTATATGGCAAGAATTCCCTCATTTTCCCTTAAACAGGTCCTCAACTTAAGCACTGCAATCTTCTTTGATTGAAGTGCAACACTGGTTTAGAAAAACAAATCAGTTTAAAGCAAAGCCCGAGATGAAAAAAATGCGTTTATTTTTTCAATGTTCAGTCCACACCTGAAATGACCTCGCCCCCTTGTCCCGACTTGAGGCAGGAGAAGACTGTAGCCTGGTTGTGAGCAGAGTCCACGCAGGCCTGGACGCACTGCTGCAGCACCGAGGAGGCTCGGCCCGGGCCAAAATGGTCTGGCAGCTGCTGGATGCGCCGCTGGTCCAGGTGAGGTCCCACCTTACCGTACTTATTTAGATAAACACAAACTTCAGGAACGAAAAAAAAAAAAAAAAATACAAAAAAGTGGTTTTATTAACTAATAAATCAAAATGTTTTACAAGTGTGTAAAGGTATTAACTGTAGATAATTTATATCAAAACAAGTGTCTTTGTAACATCCAGTGGCGTAGCAAAAATGATTCCTGTCTCCACTGTAGCTGCATGAGAAATCTTAACGTTCCCAAATAGTAGAGTTTAGTGGCAGAGTCCTCTGCCGTTAGTTCTGGTTAAGGCTGCACATAAAGCAGCACCAACATCAGTATCGGCCGATATTAGTCATTTTTTAACGCATCAGAAACAGTTGGTCCTGTGGTATGGATTTTGTTTGGTTACGTAGCAGTGATTTGCAGTGTGGTTGGGTATTTTTCAATATCAGCTGCAGATTGCAAAACCAATATATTAATGTCAGATATCAATAATGGCCCAAATGTTCATATCAGTGCAACCCCTGTTTTAGTGTCACTTTTTGGAGTTGCGCTACATTGCAGACCTAGTTGCACACAAACGTTTCCTGCATGTGTTCAGGGGTAAAACAACACTGCATTTGTTCTGTGCATGTGTGAACAAAACAGCATATCCTGTACAGGACTGCAGTGGATACTTTTGGTAGATTAGACGTACCGTTATACCTCTAGTAAAACACAACCTTGGATATTTTACTGCTAAGACAACACAAAGTAACCGATAGTGTGCATGTAAACAAAAGCAGAAATATGTCACACCGAGCTCATCTGAAATGCACTTAATATTCAAAAACAACAAAACTAAATGCTAAAAATAATAAACTTTTTCTGGACCCGTGGCTATTTTATTTTATTTTTTTACCAGTGGGAGCCTGAAGTGCAGAGTTGGGAATAGTTGCGTTGTCTTGGGGTACAGTACTGGTGTCCGGCTCTGGAGTGCTGCTGGTGGGAGACGTTGGGACCAGATTAGGTAGAACTCGTGGTTTTCTCTGCATGAACATACAAAAATTACAACGCTTAAGTGATGAATTACCAGAGGATTATTTAATGAGAAAAATCAATTCACATACACACCCCACTAGTAAGAGATTTACTTCTAAAAATAAATTTTAAAACTTGTAATTTTCCTCCCAATTCACAAATATGCACGTTTTAAGATGGTGCATCATGCAAAATCTGAATATAATACATTTAAATTTGTAATTTAAATTTCTACAATATTTTAGCAAAGCTGTCAGATTGGACCATAAACTACTGTTAACTTTTCCAATAGAAAATGTTCATATATTTGTTCCCAACAAGATATAAATCAAAACAATCTAATAATTTAAGTGAAGCCTTTGCTTTGATTAATAAAGTGATGGCAATATTCATCTTCCAGGGAAGAGGTTATAATAAATGTGAAAGCTGTGACAGATTCCTGACGCAACCAACATCTAAATATGTAAACATATATTTTTATGTTAGGTAAATGATCACACACTTTATACGATACTCTTAAAAATGACTATGACTTTTTTATAGCCATTTATCCTTAAAAAAAAATCTATAATCTTAGATCCTAGTGATCTATTTACGATAACGTTTCTGTTTCTGGACAAATACCTTGCTGCCAGGTTTGGGCCCTCGTTTCTTTGGGATCTTGATTGGTTCTGCTTCTGGTTCTGCCTGGGCTTGGGCCTGGGCCTGTTGTAGAGCAATCCTCTGAGCCCAACTAGCAAGCAGTCTGCCTCTGGTTCTCCCTGGTCCAGCTGCTGGCCGTCCTGGACCGGTCAGAGAGTCCTCAAACCAGCCATCTCTCTTTCCCCATCCCAGCTGCAAATACAGTAGAAAGGTCAGAGCAACAACTCACTTACTAATATAATAAAAAAAAAGCAGCACAATAAAAACTGCAACATCAGAGTTGCTTCAGAAACTCATGCTCAGCTCATCTTAATGACCATTAAAACCCAACCAGAAGCCTTCACTTCAGAAGGTAGTCTGATTTTCACAGTCCAAAACTGGAAGGAAAGCCTTAAGCTTTTAGTCATTAACTGAAAAATGAAACCCTTACCAAATGTTTAAAATAACCCAATCACCTTGTTATTGTCTCATCAACAACATAATAATTTAACAAATAACAAAAGCCCTTTCATTCTGTGATCTAGATGCAATCTACATGGAATAGGGGTTGAAGTCGACTCTTACAAACGTCCATGTGCTCCCAAGAGCAGCTAGCAACATGCTACAATAGCTCAATGTGTTTATGGCTCACTACTCCAACACAGACACAGAAGGCATGTACTGCCCGACACTCGCCTACCTTGCTGCCTGGCTTAGGACCTCGTTTCTTGGGGATCTTGATGGGCTCCAAATCCTTTCCTGGCTGGACGCTCTGCGATACCAACGTAGAAGGCTTTTGGCTCCAGGGTCCCGTGATTTTTGTTTTCCTGCGGCCGGGCTTCCGACCTCTCTGACCTGGAGGTCTGCCCACCGTCGGGGTGGGATTCATTGCTGGGGTTTCCACACTACCTTCTGTCGGTGTCCCAAGGCTCTTTGGCAGCACAGCTGAACCGGCAGAGATTGATAAGCACACAGTGTATAGTTTGAATAAAACTCCTGTCACCGGTATGTAAAAACACTATCAGTATCTGAGACTGTCTCAATCTGGTTGTCTCCTGCAAATGATGACTGTAAAACACAGCGATGGAAAAGTCCAAATTTCTTCAATTGAACTTATATATGATGAAGATGAAAGCCCCTCATACAAAACGGAATGACACAGAAGCTCTTTGTGTTTTGTGAATTAAGCAGCAGCCCAGACGCCATTACAGACATCTACTTTGTTCCTAAAACTTTTCAGAGATATTCCAAGAGGATGTAATATTGGCTGCAAGCTTAGATTTTCCCACAGGAATTTCTCCAGTACATCTGCGGATGAAAATGTAGGAACAAACCAGCTAAAGTCCTATACCTACAAGTGTGTGTGTAGTTGAGTTTCATAGCATCTTACACATTTTCTTCTGATCTGCACTTAGCTTTCTGCTCACTTGCCTGTATTTTGGACTGTGCTATTCTGATAAAGACAGAAACCATTGTCTTTATCTAAACCCCTTTTTTTTTTTTCAAAGAGAAAAAAATAAAGAAATAGCATACTTTCCAGGAAATTTCACATGTTCATTCTACATATTACCACTTCTCTATTTGCAGAACAAAATGTTTTTCAAAACACTTGAACATGTGCAGCAGTGTAACCCAGATGTCAAACAAACTCAGATAGTTTCACTCTCTCGGAGCTGCTTCAGGAATGACAAAGTACGCTTCAAACTGTAGAGTTCTTGACATTGAGAGAGTAGAAAGGAGAGCGGAAAGAAAAGAGCATAGCAAGAAAAGCACTACCTTGTGCAGTTAAGACAACTTTGTGTTGCTTCACAGGTATTGTTAAAAGTTTTTCAATAAAATAACGTTAAACATTGAAGGTTATTGTGACCTTATAACAGCTAACATTGTTAGTTATTTATTTAAAATCAGCATCGGCCAAGATCGGAGTCAGCAGGTCAGAGTTTTTAACGATTGGTGAAAACAGCACCGATCGTGCTGTCTTCTATAATACAAGGACTAGTTTTGTTGTATTATTTGGCAAGGCTAAAAATTAGCAAAACACACGATGTGCAATAAAGTTGGTAAATGTCGTGATGACAATATGATTTGCAGCATAGAAATACTCAACACAACAGTGCTGATGTCGTTCTGTTTTTTGTTGCGTTTCCATGCAGATTCCAGTCAATGAAAAACAGTTTTACTGGTTACATTTATGGACACAACTTAACTGTAGTTTCTTAATAAATTTGCATCCAGGCAATGTAAATGTCTGATTGTTCAATAACAAACAGTCATCAGCCAAATTATTCATGGCACACAGCCTGATACTGGTGCTAATTCACTGCAGTTCAAACAATTATTTGAAATATAGATTTTGGAACATGATTTGTTAGGTTTCCTGATTATATTTGAGCTCATTAAACGAATGACATGAAGTACGACTGACTTAAAATTGTTTCCAGGCTCCAGCTAAGCATTGGGAATCTGAAGTTAAAAACAAGAATGTGTTGAAAAAGAAAGGCTTATAATATCTGCCTTTAACTTAGAAATGGATACAACTAAAGCCTGAAATGCACAATCGCCTTTTAAATCCTATGATTAAATCTTAACAGACAAAAATATTCCAAAACTCCTCTGTAAAAACACACTCTTCCTCTGACGGTGGCAAAACTCACATCAACCTCTGAGAGAACAACCACACGGTCAAACATTAAAGAGAGCCAACAACATTAAAACAAGCCAAGCAAGCGATGCACTTTGCCATCAGGAAAGTGCGCCGTGCGTGCGAAAACAACCACAGACAAAAAAGGAAGTTAAAGTTTAGTGAAGATTTCTGCTTTTAAATGCACCTGCGGGTCTGTGCACACACACAGGCTCGCACACATACACTGCACAAACAAAAATGTAGCGGTGTTCACCCTGAATCGACCACTGGCAGATTTGTGAGAGATATGGCCACATTCATTAGCGCAGGTCTTGGCCCGTGGGGGTTGTATTTAATAAACACTTTCACACAGCAGCGGCGGCGATCAATGCAACGGTCGTCTGCAGGCTGCTGCTACGTCTCAGGAGGGACCAGCAGCTCGGCTGGGAGAAAATCACCTGATTGATCCCAAACTGATTCGAACTGAACTCTTGGTAACATATTTAAAAGTGTAAAGAGCTTGAAGTTACAATCAATCGCAGTTGTTGTAAATACAGCCGAATGAATGCATTACAAGCAAGCTCCTGTCTTCCCCCTCCTTTGAGTTCACCGAGTTCACAATGACACCACTGCCAGCATCATATTACAGCAACATTACTTCCAATAAAGGGGATTTTAATTTCTTACCACTGCAGTTGTAATTTTATTAAATTAACTCACCCCACAGCTCAAACACAAAACCCAAAAGTTTGAGGCTGTCTGCGCTGATGTCCTCAGATTCACCCTCTCTTGATGTCCGATCCTCTTTTCCCTCGCCTCCTCTGCAATACTCCTCCTTCCGCTCCTTGGCGATCCACCCCTCTTCCTTTCTCCCCTCCCTCCATCTAGTAACAATGTAAACAATTCATCTTTCAAGGCATTTGCCTGTCTTTTCTCTCTGCTTCCTGCCACTCTGCTGAAGGAAACTCTTTCCAAGGTGTTTAATCAGACTCTGGATGCCAGAGCGTCAAAGGGAGAGGGGCCTGTGGAGGGGCACCCAGCCTCGCTTCAACCACGTCACAGTCCAGTCTGCCAGCTGGGTGGCCGCCAGACCTTCATAAAACACTAGCAGTCCACAGAAAGAGCCCAGCCTCCACATTTCCCTCCTTTCTTTCCCTCCTTCACATGCGAGGGACTCTACAGATGAGAAGGGCTGACCTTGTGGCAGACAACCCTGGTCTCACTACTTCCTATGAAGTTTCCTGTACGATAAACGGCTTTGCTCTTGTTTCAAGTCCTAACCGAATCTCATGTCTTGAGCTAAAGAGAAGAAAAAACAAAATAACATGGCTGCCACTTCTGAAATGTTACAGCTTTAAAAACCAAGAGTGTCCTGCTTAAGCAAACAATAAAAATAACTTATCATGAAGTTAGATGTCATAGGCGTTGTAAACACGCTCCTTTAGATGAAAAGCAGACCCAAAAGAGTATAAACAGCTTAAACAGCAATGAGACGAAGCCATATGATGCTAAAAATGTAAAGGCAGAATTCCAGTCAGACAGACTCCTGGCTTCAAGCATGACACACATATTTTAGAAAAGCTCACCGACACAAAGCAAGTCAAAGAGAAATCAGGACATCTGAAGCGTCTCACTGCTGTGTCCATGCTTCCTGTTAATAGTTAGACATTTTTAGACTAGAGCACATGTTTAAGGGGAACAAAGTTGCTGTAGGAGGACGTGGTGAGCGAATGGGTTTGGCAGATTTGGAGCCCCATTAACACTGTTCTGTTTTTAGCTGCCATAGAGGCCGTGCACATGCCTCAAATTGGCTCGTGGGAGTGGTTTAATGAGCAAAAAAGGAGAACTGCTAGAAAGATATTCAGAGATGCAACAATTATGCTTTTTCTGGCCAGTACTGACTTCAGGCTTTTGGTTCTGAAGATTATTGCCGATTATCAATTCTTATCTCTGCCAGATGTCTGGAATTATTTTGTATTTCCCTTTTTTTTTTTTTTTTAGATGTTTAAATGCTTGGATGTAAAAAGTATGATGTTAACATCTTACAAACTAAGAAGTACATAAGATATCAGCAGTTTTAGTACAAAAGATGCATTTTGTTCAGTCATATTTCTTTTCCAGTTTAAAGTGAGAATATTAACAACATTACAATTAATTTTTGCAAACAAGTGGAACGCTTCAGTAGTTCCTCCTTCTGGGATTCAATGGAAAACCAGGTGTTTTGGTTTAGTACAGTTCCCAACATACCGACCACACCATGCAACTCTCACCAATGGAGCAACAAAAATAAATCAAAACCAAACCATTGACGATGCTACGGCCAGTTTTTTACTGGTTTTACACCACAGGTTTGGTTTCTCAGAGACAGTGGACTGCGGTGCTAGGATGCGAGTCTTCCACACAAATCTCATTATTTCTCAGATTACACAATGTCTTAATTTATTAACCATGCTAATCAGCTGGCAGTGTTCTCAAACATTACCAGTTGTGCATCGATGTTCTTTGATAGTTACACACAGTATTTAAAATTGTCCTTAGTATCCCACCTGGGACAAGACAACACAGTCAGAAACTGTGTTGATGGATACAGTGACTGTAACCGCAGCTTCATGCTGCACACTTAAAGTATATGATAGGTGATAGCAATAAAAAAAAAATAAATAAAAGCAGAAATATGAAGTATTCCTGTGCTAAGTTCAGCTTTATTAAACTCCTTTTGTCTTATATTGCTTGGTGCCTAAAGTTATGTGATTGGTTATGTGATTGAGATAAGACACCACCCCCCTGTGGCCCTGCAGGGATGAACGAGAATAGAGGACGGATGGAGGGATCTGTCCACTCTGTGAGCCTTCCTCTGGTTTCTGACCACAGTGATTTTCTTCCTTTGGCTCAGTGAGTGAAACAGCACCAATTTATCAGTACCAGCACAAATACATTGGAGTTAAGCAAGAAGCAGCAGCACTACTTTGGCACTGGAAGCAGTTTGGTGGAAAGAAATCCCACATTCTCGTCCAACTTTAACACTTTAAGACATAACAGTCCACAATGGCTTCAATACTGGTGAAAAGACACTTCTCTCCCTTAATGTTTCCACTAGTCGTACAAACAAACAAAAAAAATAAAAATTATGCAAACTATGCAACAGTTGGGGTCCAAACCTTTGGTGCCAGGCGGTTGAAGGTTGTCTCCAGTGAGGGAACACCAGCCGACTGGGAATATGTCCCGCGAGTCATAGCGGCAGTAGTAATCAAAGGCTCCACGCCATCCGTCAAAGGTGACCAGCACCTCAACTCCACGCAATGCGCCGACCGTCGCCGGGCAGATAAAGTGTGGATTTTTCCGATCCACCGCCTCCAGCTTCATTCCCACCTGGAAAGAGTTTTGCTCTGGAGCGGGAGGCTCCTGCTGGGGAAGACGGAGACACAAAGGGAGTCAGATATTGATTATTGGGTGCAAAGAATATATCTGCTGTGATAGAGAGGCAGAAACTTGTGCTCCGTTCTTCTGTGAAAGATTGGACCTTCTTATGCCGATTTTAGCAAGTTCTGTTTAAGAGCTGTTAACACATGTATAAAGATAAAATATATATATATATATATATATATATATTAAAAATGTTTTATAGTCATTTTGCTGTAATTATTTGTATTAGAGGCAGAGGCAACATAATGATGTGTGAGAGAGCAGTTGTTATAAACAGGGTTTTACTGATATCTGAAATAGAGAAAATTATAGTTGATATTTTTACAGTCAATGACCTTTTATAATAGCAATTTTAGTGTGACTCACATTATTAGAACTGCAGACACTGTGTGCATTTCCTATAGAACATAGAGCCTAACTTAACTGACATCTCCAATTGGTTGTATTTCCAAATCTAGCAAGTTTCAACAGAGAGTAGAAGTCTTGCTTCCTATCCTGCAGACTAAATGAAATGCATGTTTCAACATGCTGCAATAAATAAAGTCTCCTCCTTAATGCCATCTTACACCTACACGGTTCCTCTAAATTCACTGTAAACGCATTCCAGGGCTGCCCAAATCTAAACTTTTGCAGGACTTGCAGTTTTTTGTGTTTCTGTCAATAAGGGAGTAGCCAAATAACCAAACATGTTTATTTTACCCTCCACACAAACTCAAGCATGTTTTTCTGAACAGGTTTTTCTTAACTTTGTACAGGTACCTTGTGAAAAATGCGAGAGGGAGCCATTTCAGCCCCATTTAACGTCTTCAGCAGAAACATGGGCCAGGAAGACGCATTGAGACGGAAACCTGAAAGAGATAGTCATTTGATTTAGGACTGAATGATTAAATCTGTGTTACAAACCACCGGGAGGCAGAAATGATAACTTAACAGGAAACAATTGTTTTTACTTTAATCTGCCCAGAAATATGTAAATAGTTCTCCTGCTTGTGAATTGATAACCTGACAAAGAAAACTGGTCACAAAACTGTCAGACGTCATTTATTTTTCTCATAGATGGAAGAAGGAAACATTTTTAACTACTTTTCAAAAGTACAAAAAAAGACACACACTAAAGATCATGTTTTTTTCAGAATTAATACAGAAATAACTAAGGCATTCCAAAATGTGACACAAAAATATTGACATGCAGAAACATAATGCAGTTACTGACCTCTAGAGGACAAACTACAGAAAGCCTCGCTAAGACAAAGTAAGAAGCCTCTGCATGTTTTCCTCTCACCTAGCGGGGGCTGGAGCATGCCTCCGCTTTTTTCACAGCTGCCAATCGGCTGGATCTCCGAGGAATCCACCAGGCGCCAAAAGTCGTTCTTATTGTCTGACCCGTCGAGGCGCAGTCGCAGTCGCGAGCCCGTCAGGCCGACCACTGTGGCGATGCAGGTGGACGTGGTGTTCCTGGGGTCCTGGGCCTCCAGCTTCATCCCCACCTTGAACTCGTTAAGTGGAGGAGTCGGACTCTGTGTGGTGATGACACACAGATGAGCCGGGTAAAAAAAAGCGGCAAAACTGTACAGTGGCGAAAGGAGAAATTTGAGCTAAGATTGAAAAGCTGTGATCACCTGTTTGAAACATGAAGAAGGAGCGGCAGTAGCCCCGGTTTCTTTCAAGTATTTCTCCCAGCTGAAGTGCCCTGCAGCAGAAAAAGTTGAAAGTATGAAGGTAAATCTACTGCATGTCAGATCAAAAACATAACATAACACGCTTGGGGTTTCTATGATCAATATAAAAATTGCAGCTCTACTTATTAAATGACATAAACAACAGAACATCATTTTTAAAGCAGTGACTTGTCCCGGTTATTGGTACCTTGGTACTGTGAGGGCACCCGGGAGGGCCGTCCACTCCGAGCATGCTTGATAATTCGGGCGTCTTTCCATTCTAGAGCTGCAAAACAAGGGTTGCAAAACAATCTCTTTTTCTTAAATTCCTCATTTGTGTCTTGCAATAACTGTCAAATATCCCTGCTCAATGTATCAACTGGGGATGGTTTTAACATCCAAATTCTATGCTTAAAGAGTAGCATAAAAGTGAACTATCAAGAATGAGAAGCAAGACTGACTGCTGCGTATTGTTTCCAGACTCCTACCTTTTTGTGGCACAGGTTTCCTCATGCTCCAACAATATAGACCAGCTAACACACCAGTGTTCTCCTCTGGAAAGACACAATAATCTCAGATAAACAAAATAATTCATAATAATACATTTGGGAAATCTGTGTATCTAAAAGAAAATCAAGATAGTGGTGACAGTTATGCCATTAAAAACCAGGAAATAAGCATTACAGTGTGAATATAATTTTTAATCTTAAAGCTCAATAACTTGATGGTGCCCTTGTTTTACTGACATGATGCTGTTAGCTACTTTAACCCAGAATGATACAGACTAATATGAAAAATCACATAATAGGAGTGAGTTTAATATGTATAAGTGCTTTACCGGTACGAGTTCAGACTGAATATGGGACATCACAGTTAAACACTGTTAACCAAAAAAGAATTGTCTATAAAGTATAATTATGCAGTAACCTGCACACAAATTATTAGTTTCTACTAACTGAATTGAACCCACTGATGACAGTCAGCAGCTCTAAGAGTTGAATTTTCAGTCCACATTTAAGTAAAATTATTGATGAATTATTTAGTGCTTAAAAGTAGCCTATGTTATAATTTCTCATGAAGATGTTGCATAATCTGCTTGTTATTTCTTGTACCTTGCTTGATATTTCAGTCATATTTCCCTTTATGCAAAGTAACTGTCCCCAACCTTTGTCTTGTTTTTATGAGCATGACGCAGCAATCAATCGACAAAAGAATGAAATTAGTCAAATCTCTCTTGATTCATTCATTAAGTGCATTGAGTTCCACCAAACAGTGTACCAGTGTGTGAATCATTAGTATGTACTTTGATGCACCTTCTGAGTTTAATAAAAAATAAGATAGTTGGACATGTTTTAATATATAAATGGGGTAATTCTATATATATATATATATTTATTTCCAAACTACAATGGAGGTCGCTCTTTTATTAAATATCATCCCCATTAAAAATGAAACGCATCAAAATCAGAAGCAGCTGATCAAACAGTAAAGAGAACCAGAAATTGGTATTGGCCAACAAATCCAGATTGGTGCATCTCTACTCCTAACTGTAAAGACAGTAGTTTAAAATACTGATTGTTTAACAGGTTCTTAAAGTATGTAAGGGAGACATGAGTAGAATTAGGATTGCAAAAGATGAAAGGTTAACACTTAAAATCAGTCAACGCCCTGCCCGTCATCATAGGAACAGGTCAGGGTTAAACTAATATGGACAAGCTCGTCAAGAAACTCACTATCCTACTGTAAGCTTAATAATATAACAAACACACCCAAAATATAATAATAGCAATCTATGCAGCAGCCACAGCTTTACTACAGGCTAAAAACAAAGTAAGAGAAACAAAGCAAAACAGTTAATAATCTAGCAAATCTTTCCACCAAAAATATAACCGCTGTATGAATGCTTTCATTAATTAACTAAGCCTGAATAAATATGCTTTGACAAAGGATTCAGTTTCCGTTAAATTGTGCAAGTCTTATAAACAAGCTTACCTTAAAACTTCATAACCGTTGGACAGCCTCTCTCTTCCCCTTTCAATAGAAATGCGCCTTTTTCCTCCGCCAAGGGGGATGGCGTCCGAATTAAAGCGACCCCGCTCCTTGTTTTCAAAGCTGGAGAAGCGACAGGAAGACTGGCATTAGACACTCGTCCCCCCTGATGCTAACACAGGGGTCCTGCTGATTTACCCGTCTGGCTTCTATATCTGGGGGACTGTACGCTGCTGTAAACGGACACACTATCGCAGCTTACATTCCCATAAATAAATCCAGATCCCCAACACAAAGCCAAACACATGGAAACCCCCTCCTTCGTTTTCTCCTGAGCTATTTTTTCACAATATTTTCATTTAGCAGCAAAAAAAAAAAACATGCGAAGTGCTCTGCATTACAGGTAGCGTAACATTTGAAATTAAAACAAGTAGTGCATGAAATACAACATGCATGCAGTTAGTGGACACGCAACATCCTACAGGATACGCTAAACACATGCAACCAGACATGCCCACTGCACTGGAAGCTAGCCTAGCATGCTAACTCCCTGACCCGATGGCAAATATTAGCATTAGCAAAACCGGAGCCCAGCGGGACCGCTGAGTTCATCCAACGGTAGTCCGGACTCGACCCTGAGCGGAACCTGAAGCGAGTCGCCCGTCGGTTGGTCCGGGGAAGTTTACCTTGCTTTGTAAGGTAGAAATGTATTTCAAACGTAGATTTACCGCTTGTCCGCCATTTTTTTTTCAACAAGATGAGGAGGGGGTGTTTTGCCAGCATTTCTACTTGGACGGGCAGGCAGGCGGACGGTGAGACTGCAGCAACAAACTGCAGAACAACGCCTACTAGCGGTCATAATGCAATGCAATACAATTTATATCTATCTATCTATCTATCTATCTATCTATCTATCTATCTATCTATCTATCTATCTATCTGTCTGTCTGTCTGTCTGTCTGTCTGTCTGTCTGTCTGTCTGTCTGTCTGTCTGTCTGTCATCGACAATAAAGTAAAGTCTGCATTCCAATGAGGCTCATTTTTCAGATTAAAAGTTGAACTATGAACTGAATTAATGATGATTAACAAGCATCAACTCTGATACATAGTGTATGCACAAGTATGAACTTACTATTTATTTTATGTTGCTTTCCACTGATGACATTGTAGAATTTATGTGTACTTTTTGTATGTACTTTATATTATTAGACTTACTGTGTAAAAAAATAGACAATGTGAAACTGCACAAATTTTCATTTTTGAACTTTTCCTGAGATGAGCAACAATATTTTTCTAATGTATTTTAGCCTAAGTTATGTATTTTAAATCATTTAATTGCCATGGCTATCTAATAGTCACATATTCTAAATGGAATAAGGAATAACCACCTTATTATGTGAATAGCCATTTCATAGCTATATGAATAGCTATGAAATGGGTATGTGAATATTTGATTATTTATTGAGAAATTTGCTCAATATCAGTTCTTCTGGACACACTAGTTTAAACGATGCTCTTGTTTTATGAATTAAAAATATGTCTGCATAATATCAACAAAAACATGATTGTCATTGCATGTTAAGTTTAATTTAGTATTCTTTACACATTCTGTTCTGTCTGTTCTCTACTTTCTCTTCTGGAGACAAAAAAAAAAAAAAAAATCAAAGAACGGCAAAGCATATATTGCCAGAGTGAAACCTGTGCAAAGTTTTAAAATGAATATTGCTAAGCTATAATACAACAGTATTTGAGACGCTCTACTACATCTACATTATCTAAAAATATGTTCAAAATAAACTGAAAAAGTGTGAAAATTAAAATTACGCACCATTTGGTAATATCACGCCAATTAGGGGAAGATAGCAACTGTAACTATGTGATTTGGAGAGACACCCAGCAGTTCAATTGTGTGTAATGGTCACCTGGCAGCACAGCTAATGCCCATTTCAGCCTACGCTGGGCAGGCCATGGCCTATTGGCCCCCAGCACACACAGGCAATTATGTTTGGTTTCACACGGTGAAAAGGGTTAATTGGCAGCGCCCACGTGCCTGCTTGGACCTGTTTCACGCTTGTCAGCCTTCATTGCATCAAAGGAAGCTCCAATCCACCGGGTGCCAATATTAGAACACGCACAGACACACTCGCACTCACACTTCATGGCCTTGCCCTGTAAGTGGAATCTGTGTAGCTTAATGCAAGACTTATCGGTAAGGGGACTAGCCACAGATTCACAGAATTAAAACGTCCACAGACCTAAACCCTTTTAGGAGCAGAGTTGCATAAAAAAAACTTAAAAATGCACAACACTGAAGAATAAATGTGTATTTTGGCCATGCAAACATATTATTGTTTTCATTGTTGCATAAACTAACAGACCCTTCAAATCAAAATTGGGGCTTGCTTTCAAGTAGCACCACTAGGGGTCAGTCTTGTCTTTTATAAACTAGGCTTCATAATTCTGACACTTTCGGTTCTTCACATCATGACTCTTATCTGACTACAACGCACTTCATGCATCTTCTGCTTATCTTGGTATCATCTGCTATTATTAACTCATCTGTATTTCCCTGGATTCTGAATGTTCTTTTCCACTGAACATGTTTCGTTTTGTCTTTCATAATATAAAACTTCAGGTCTATATCTGTTGTGTATGGTCATGATTGAGTCGCTCACAGGCTTCCCTTGTTGTTAGAGTTCTTTATTAGAAAATCTTCAACCACTGAGCCAACTAAACCTACGAAGATCTGCTCTTTATAAACCTCTGGCTCTTTAGTTTTAACACATTAGTTTGGATTTGTTAGCTCTCATTGCCTATATATATATATAAATATATATATATATTTAGTACAATTATTTTTTCACAGGAAAGGCAAAAATAATTAAAATGCTATCTTCAGAAAATGTATAAAAGTATTAAACATGTACATGCAGACTGAAAATCACACACAAGTACTCAATGAACGTATTACAGACAAGATATTTTTGGATGGTTATAATAAAAAAAACATATAATTATATACAACATACTGAACAGTAAAACTACACAATCCCTTTTTAACTTATGTAAATGTCTCACTTATAAGAAAACATTTGCTTCACTGAAGCATATAATGTTCATATACAAGACATTTGTCCATGTGCAGCTTCTACATGAAAATATTTTGCAAAACATACATTGTCTTGCAAATTTATTCATACACATTAAACTTTCCCCCATTTTGTTGCCAAAGTGCAATACTGATTTGTCGGTTAATGCCATTAATGTTTTCCTGACGTTTGCCAAGATAGAACAAATCAATGGACTTCAGCAGTGGGTAGTTTTATCAGAAAAACCTTACAGAGATTAAACTAGGAATAAGTGGACTCAGTTACTTCATTTGGTGACTTATGAAAATTGTTTGTACCTTATTAAATAGTAAAAAAGGAGTGGAATAAAAAGGTATCCCTCTCTTCAGGGGTTTTTGTTTGGGTTAAAAACATAAAGTGAAAACCATGCCTCGCAGATGAATCACAATACTTTTCTAAGATACTGTATTAGTTGAGTCATTGCCACAGTCCTTTTCTCCCTGACTTTCTGAAAGCAGTGTGTGTGTTTTATCTGCTTGGAATCTCCTGCTTTTGCTCTTTTCCAGTTATCACACTTAGCAAATTTGGCTCTCATAGCTGGCAACTAATTTTTGGATTTACAGACATGTTGCTGAAGGTGTCCACTAGCCAATGGCATGGCTCCATCATCGCGGCCTGTTTCGGCACTTGTAGATAGAGCAGCGAAGATCTTCCCCGTACTGTGCCTCCTTGTCACTTTCAGCACTTTGGCATGATACAACAAAGTCACCCTCCTCGCACACAAATGCTTCGACATTCACGCACACTGCGAGCCACACACTGTGCGTATTCCTTTGCAACTAAGCCTCCGAGGGCTTCCTGCTCTCGTCGTTTTCCACGGACGAGGACATGCATGTGTGCACACAGTCGTAATACACACATCACATCTCTTCTAGCATCCTGGGAGGGACATGCAAGAGAAAGAGCAAGAGCATATGTTGGATCGACTCTTGTTGGGGCGCGGGGTGGGGTGGGGGATATTTCTCTTTGGATGTTGTCTTACAAGCTCTGACGGCACAGAGCAGAAAGAAGGCATTTTTTCGTCCAATTTATTAATCCTTTTAGGCAATGTTCTCTGTTCAGAAATGCAAATTGAATCAATCTGAGGCTGACTTTAAGACTTTTCAAGTGGGATTTAATTAGAAACCAGGGCCTGCAGTTTTTAATGAGAGAGGGGGTGGAGAGATGGAGAAAGAGAGAAAGAGCGAGGCATGGGGAGGGAGAGTGGGTTGCGGTTTTGATCTGGGGGTCCTGCTGGAGAAAGGATACACAAACACCCTAAACATAGACACAAACCAACATACATGCGCGCACGCACACAAATACATCCCGTAGAGCAAAGTATGAGGCGGATGCCCGCTGTTTAGTTTTTCTTCACTTCCTTCATCTCGATCCTTGTGAGAGTTCAACCAGGGACCTCGTTACTTGTGTGCACATCTCGTAAACTCTAATAAACCTTGCCTATATGAGCACTGATGAAGTGTAGCTGCATGCTTATGTTAATGCCAAACTGTTTACAGGTGGAGAGGCACGAATACAGACACAAAAGAAACACTGAGAAGGATGGAAAAAGAAGGTGGGCCGAAGGACTGTCCATGTTTTAAAGTTCGCCACGTCTTGGTGATAGACTGAGATGCTGAATGAGATATAAACCACTGCACTAAACATTATGTGTGATATTTACTTGCAACAGTTCAGCGCTCATTTATAACCGCTTAAAGCAAAGAAGCTGCACTCTTACTAATGGAGAAAATGTTATCAGGCCATGGCTTGTTTATGAAAGGACCATGCTTTTAAAAACACTTTTCAACAAAGACGAGCTGCCAAGCTGCCCCTCGGTAAAGTCCACCTGAACTCAGATCCAGTGTTTAAACACTTGAAGTGATCTGTATGGAACAATATGTCACCTACACAGTGGTGCTGCTGTTTTTAATGGTGTTTTAGAACTGTAACAGTTTCCTTAAAAGCTATTCTTCTGGGGACTTGCACATAACATGTGCGTTATAGTATTGCGTCAAATGAAAACATTGCTTCTTTGATCATAAGATACACCAAAATGTGTTGGCTCATACTTTATACTTTGTCTCAGTGAAACACATTTCCTATGTCCAGTAAATGGATTTTCTCCACCTGCTTGGTCCTAGTCAGAGTTACTAGTCGCTGCAGCGTATTCAGTGGGCAAAAACGAGGTACGTGCAGGAGAGACCACCTGTCTATTGTGGGTTCAACCAAGAGACACATTAGAGCATGCACACACTCAGGTCAGTTTGGAGTTGCCTACTAATGTAAAAATAAACATTGAGTTCCAGAGATAGTCAAGCCCCTTTACATTTTTTCATATTTTGTCACATCACAACTACAAATTTATTTCATTTCATTGGGATTTTATCTGATAAAAATGCAATCTTGAATAAGATGGCAATGTGGAGAAAAAAAATGCTATATGGTTTTCAACAATATTTACAAAATCAAAAATCTGAATTGGTGTGGATTGTTTCTTTAAGCTTATGCCCTTGAATAAAATGCAATGCAGCTAATTGTCTTCTAAAGTCACCCAGCAAATAGTGTCCATCTGTGTGTCTTTAGTGTCAGTATGAATTCAGTTTAGCCTCACATATTTGTTAGAGAACATTAGTGAACAAAAGCTTCATGAAAACCAAGGAACACAGCAGACAGGCCAAGGATAAAGTTGTGGAGGACTTTAA